TTAAATCTTTTGTAGCATATTCAGTAGCCCAGAGCTCTTATAAAGATCATAAATAGGACATGCTGGCAGTGGCCTTCCTCCATTTTTCTTTCGCACATTGTCCTTGTACACCTTAAGGTACAACCTCTGGTTGTAGTCTAACCTAAACTAATTTGGCTGCAGCTAAATCTAAGCATGTTTAACTGGAATATCATTGTCATCCTCTGCTTTTTATAGTGCTGTGCATGTTGATAGCACCATGTAAATTAATACCTCTTTCTTTAAAATATATTTAAATAACCTCTAAAATAACTTTAATATAAAGTGTTTAGAATCATAAAGCTGGGAATAACTCAAAAGCCTCTAACAACATTTTAATATAGTCAACTTAAAATAACTCGAGGGATGCCTCTATCATCAAATACCTGGAGGTGATTTTTATTCTAGTTCTGACTCTGCTACTGTCAACTCCAAAAGTGAACTAGGATAGATAATCTTTGCAGAACTTATATTCTGCTGACAAATGTCTACCTCTACCTTTTTTCTTTATACTCTTCTGTAGGTTTTACCCTTTGCTTATAAGCATGCACTGGTAAACAAAATGTATGGCAGAGGTCTCAAATTTGCAAATAAACTTGCAGAGGAGAAGCCCACCAAAGACAACTTGAAGAATTGTATACAGGTAAGTAGTTGTCATTGCATATTCAGTTCAGTTAAATTGGTATGCAAGTTTCAGTCACATTCAGAACTATAAAATCAAATTGCACCATTAGGACAGATTTTCTAGAAATGTCACTGACTAAATGAAAGTCTAATATTATATTACTGTATTCTGCTAATTGTTGGTAGTCTAAACACATTCAATTTCATTTTCATGACTTTGGCTTAATATAAAGATTACTTTAAAATATATAAAAGTAACTTTTGTTTTTTGCTCTTTTTAGCTAATGAAGTTACTTGGATGGACTCACTGTGCGTCTTTAACCGAAAACTGGCTTCCTGTGATGTTCCCACCTGATTATTGTGTGTTTTGAAATACCTGCAATTGTAAATTTAAGATGTTCTTACATTGACTGAATATAAAAATCTGTGAACTTATTGGATTGCATGTTTTCATCCATTATTGAATGCTTAACTTGTATGTATTAATCAGAGGATAAGGGGGTTGCAGTATATGTGTGCTAGTTTGGGTCCAGACATAAGGAAGTCTGTTTAAACTTAATTCTTAGTTTCTTGAATAGCTCATTTGCCTCAGAAATGAAAATTTAAAAACAAAATCTATTGAATACATCACATTGCTGGCAATGGATGTTTGAGAACAGCCAGCGCCAAGGTTTAGAAAATGAAGGTGGAAAAGCTTCTTGCATGTGTATGTGGCTCTTAACTGTTTGTAATTTTAATTATAAGGCTATACAAGCTGTTATTTTTACAATGAGCAGGATTTTAACATGTTTAAACATAAATTTTCAATTGTATGAAGGCCTTAAATGAAGCTACAAGAAGAGTAGCTAAAACCTTATTTATTAGTCTTAATAATAATAGAACATAATTACCAGTATCATTTGCAAGAGTTTACATTTTAATTTTTTTAAAAAAATAACAACTTCCACAGTCACTAACAATGTGTTCTGAATTACTGGTGCAAAGGTGCTCTTGAATATCTTCAACTTGAAGGTACTCTCAAATATCCACATGATACAGAGTATCAGGAAAAACTGATACATGTATAAAGTGTCAGTTAACACTTAATCAGGTATTGTAAAACTTATACATACATGTTAATAATGTTTGAAAAATGTAAAACTGCAGAATAAATGTGCAAATTTCAATATCAAAAGTTTGAGCACTCATGGTTTAATTTTGTTAAAATAAAATATTGAACAAGTTTGAGATCTGTTCTAATTTTTCAATGAAACATAAAGGAGACATTTTGACTTTAATGATTTCAGAGCAAATGGAGAAAACACTACATGGGAACAAATAGAAGGAATAAAGTCAATACATATGTGATTTTATGGAGGCCAGATAAGCTGTTGGATATTTTTACCACTGTAGCAAACTGTATGCCAGTTGCTGAGAAGTAATTTAACAGTTCAGCAGTGGCTTAAAATTTGATATCTTTAAAAAGGATTTTTAAAATTTGTGAAGATATGCTTAAATAAGTGCTTGCTTTTAGTTCATTTTATTCTAAAAAAAAATAGTACCCTGTTGTTTAGGATTAGTTCCTCCACATAGCTCTGTAAAAGGACTATATTTTCACATATCCTTAAATTCTAATCTTAAGAACTGTGAATTCTTATCTTTCCTGGTATGTTACAGCCAATTCACCTTAGCAGTCTTGATTTATGAGGACATATTGTAGGATAAAAGTGGTCCTCCTTTCCTTTGTGTTTCTAGGAACAATGTGACTAGAACCATAGAGTTTCAAGCCTATCATTTGTAAATATCTATTCAACACCAATGAAGGAATGCCAGAACATGTCAGATGCTGGGCGTGGCTATAACTGAGGGAAAAGCATAACCAAAAGGTGAAGCACTTCCTACTGTCTATTCTTTTGTAGAAAACATGTCTTTGAGAAAAGGTCTGAATAATTACCTGTTTTAAAGGGTTAATTTCCTGCCTTCAAAGTCAAAAATCAGACTCTTAGTGTATTCTGTAAACATCTCAGCTTTTATACTTAATCTGGATTCTGGCACTGCTTCCTCAGTTTAATTCTTTTATTGTGCCTTTGAACAATTTGATACTTGACTCTGGAAATTCTGCTAGCTGGGTAATATTGAATATGTTGCTGACTGAGTTCAAAAATTCATAATCTGTGCTGAATCTAAATTTATTTCCCCAAACCAGGATTGTCCCAGGCTGGCATAAGTAGTGCATTGTAGCCAGCAGAGAATCCAGCGCTGTGTGATGATATACAACATCAGTAGCCAAGATGTAATCATAATGATGGGTTGTTTTGGGAAAGTCTTCAGGGAGATTCTCGCCCCAAACAAGCTTCCTTATTTCAGGCTTGTGAACATCTAGATTCCGTACATTCCTAGTAATGTTGAACTCCAAGTTTTCAAGTACCTCAGGCAAGTCAGTAGCAGTAACAAAAGCTCCTGAAAGATAAAGATAACAGTATTCAGTCTGTAACCTGCCTTGATAAGATGTCAGTTGGGGGGCAGAGGGGGGGGAAGGTCCTAATATTATATTAGCTGTCAGTGTACTTAGGTCCTCTGCCTGCTTGCAACTGCAAATCATAAAACAGACTGGAATCGCATTGTGCTAAGCCATGGTTTGCATAACTAATTTGTTAAATAAGCCAAAATTGCTCAGTTCACACACACTGTGTTGAGCAAAAACCAAGCAAACCATATATAGATTAACCATGATTAAACACTAGTTTATTAATAAAATTCTGCAGGATGCCTTTTAGGTGAGCCATTGCTTGGCTTTAGAATTCATTGGCTTAATGGAACAGCCTTATTTACATGTTCACCTGCATACATTTGTTTAAACATGATTTATTAAATGGGGTTAACATTTATGTGTTATGTCAAAATGAAATACATTGCTTGGTTTAGCAAGTTGTGTGAACTAAATAGAATTTACTGCATGTTAGAGGAGTGAGTCAAGTTCTGGTTTAATGGCATTGAAATTAATAAATATAGCCATTCTCAGTTGGGCCTTTAGAGTGTCTTCAGCTTTTTGTATACCATCAGGCTGAAGAATGAATTATTAAAGGATCAAACAACTATTTTTTATAACTTATAGTTTTGCTAAGCATAATATATCAATTTCTGTCTTGGTATGTATAATTGATATAGTATGGTATATAATGGATGTACACAGAATAATAAAAAATTAGTGGAGGAGGGAAGCAATATCTGAAAATTGGGCCTTGTGAAGTTTGGCAGGAATGAAAGAAGCAACAGTGTCAGAAATTGATCAAATGTTGAATGAACATTTAGGAGAGAAATCAGTGAAAGTAGGAATGTACATGTTTAAAGTAGATGACTGAAGGAGAAATGGATCTCTAATGTATCTTATAGTCCGAAAATCAATGTTAACAAATTACCTAATATACTTGCCACAATAGACACTAGACCTGTCCCAGCTCCAATTTCGAGGACTTTCTTTTCTTTGAGGTTAATTTCCTCTTGATTTGATTCCAGGTACTGACATAAAGCAAGGGCCTAAAAGAGCAAAAATCACTTTTGATCATTTAAACCCTAGTTATTTGTCTACACATAAATACCAAAAAAAGCTGTTTTCTTTGGCCTTTAGAAATAGGTCAAAATACAAATAAAAGGGAAAAGCAGATTGAGGTTTCAGGCTCATAGGTACTATGCTTCCTAGGTACTATGCTATGTCTATCTTGAAAGAGCCTTAAAATGCCATGCTCTGGCATCCTCCTGAGACACAAGCAAAGCCAGAAGTTTATCACAGTTTATAGAAGCTTTTGCAAACTGAAATGGGAAGAGGAGGGAATTGCATCTAATCAGATTACAAAAGAAATATCAAACTGTCAGAAAATGTGTGCTGACATTTTATGTGTTAGCAGAATTGATCTCCTAGCTGTATTTTTCCTTCTCTGTGCCTCTCACTGCTGATTTTTAATAACAAAAATCTACATTATTGCTTTTAATTGTGTTAGTGCTGCACTTGGATTGAGCCTTGAAATAATTTTGATGGATAATGACAAAGAACACTCCCTGTCTTCCAGACAAGAAGGCAGATTCAGGAAAAGGCAGGTGCATTTTGGAAAGAGTGAATGGTTCGAGATAATTCAGTGTCAGAGACATGAAACACTATAGGACTCTACTTAAAAACACTAAAACAAGAATAAACAAGGACTATCAATTTTTTTTCCTTTCCTTTTTTTATTTTAAAAATGTACATATTACCCCTACTGTTTACCAGTTAAAGCAATTAAGACAATCCAAATAATAAATGTCCAATGTCGCAATCAAAGACTGGGCAGCCTCCAATACATAAAAATAACATACAATAAACTCATAGGTGATCAGTAATATCTACAACTTAAACCAAATGAATATGAGAATAGCCCCCTACATCACATTGTTCATCAAAGGAGTAAGAGAGCTGCATTCATTTTTTTAAAAATAATAGATCTAGGACAGAATACAGTGTTGGCAATTTACATTAAAAACAGAACTTCTAGAAGCAAAGTCAGTAGCTCAGGAGATTTAATCTCAAAACCTGTTTTCTTTTTTCTCTACCAGAACTGAGTTCACAGCTTTGTTGCTTGTTTTATTTCTCTTTGCCCTGCCCAAATTATCTCTTAAATAGGGCAAACTAACTAAAGGAGCAGGTAGTCTTGATTATTAAATCAAGATTAAATATTCCTTGGAGGAAGAGAGAAGCTGTGCACCAAATTATTCATAAACTGATTAATTCATGCTCACCCACATATGGGAAATGTCCTACATGCTTATAATATTGGGCATGTTCACCCATATTAAACCAGCTTCTTAATGGCAACACGTTACCACCTCTGTTCCTGTTTAACCACCTTAATAGCTCCTCTTTGATTTAGCAGCTGACATTTCTGGTCAACACTAAGTAGAAGGTAAAGCCAGTAAATAGCCAGTTAAGTGGTGGCTGCTCTTTATTCATGCATTTCATTTAACTGGAGATAAAGCAACACGGGAGAAGGGTATAGCACCAGCACAATGGCTCATGTTAATCAGTCTAGTTAACATGATAATGAATATCATATGTTGTGCCATATGAATGTTGCTACTGCCCCCTTCCCCTGCCATTAATATTGCTAGAGATGGCAAAACTGACCAGAGTAAAAGGCATCAGCAATAGTAACTATTTCCAGACTTAAGATGCTTATTGGTCAAAGGGGTGCTGTTTTTGTTTTGTTTTTTGTTTTTTTTTCTGTGTAAAACTTACACCAGGCCATACTACGGCTCCAAAGCATTCAATGGATTCTTGAATGATGATCTGATGGCCAGCATAACAGTAATGTTCTTTGTCAAAATAGTAGGAGGCCTTTGGAATCCATTTTGGCAATATTTTAAACACACGTGGACCTATGGAGAAGAAATTATTGGCAGTCATTTGTGAGATCCTGTGGAATTAAGCAAAACTATGTTTTCCTAAAGTTAGCTCTAAAATCCTCACAATAATTAACACTACACAAAGAGTCATAAGCCTCTCTCGCACACACACAAACAATATCTCTATAAATAAAGTAGTGGTGTTTTTGAGAAATTCAAGCCAAAGTTAGCATATTGGTATGTTTGAAAATAAAAGCTTGCTCTGTTAAAACAGGACAATAATCAGGACCAAACTAATTATATAGATGTCCTTCTGCTTTCAGTGGAAGGGCTGAATTTTCTCATTTAAATTAGAGTAGGTTGGCCTTATTTCCTCAATGTTTAAAAGGCACAAGGCACAGTTTTAATTACAATTGAAATAAGCATGCAACAGCTGCAGGAATGTCTGTGAGCACAGTAAAAAGTCAAGATGGCACCCAGGACTGCACAGTTGAAGCCCTGCACCATTTTTACATGTGGTGCATGAACTATGAACTTAACAAAGGGGCAGGGCTTCAATCACATGGTCAGGGCTGCCATGATTTTTGGCACTCCCCCGCCATCCCCCATGACCACCTCTGAATAGCTGAGACTATGAATACTGCCTTTGCAAATTATTGTGATAAAAATTGAGGATAAATACAATCCTCAAAATGAATTCGTGTTTTATCTGGTAAGCAATCACAAAACAGCTTTTTTTAACTAGTAGCTGACGTGGTCAATCTATTACACAGTTTAGAGGGAAGCATTATGTGTGTGTGCATGCATCCATTCATATTTTAAAGTGCAACCTGAGTCAGGTAATACAGAAGAGTTGTCACTATAGTCAAGCTCATATTCCTTTTCCTCTTCCTCTTCTGTTAATTCTTCAGCCACTTTAGGGAACAACTGGTGCTGTGTAGAGATCATAGCAGGAATGCTGTTGAAGGAACAACCAAACCATGAATCATCCTGAGTGCAAATAACTGCATTTCTAATTCATCTACCTGGCATCTCTCTGTATGGAAAACACCATACCGAAGCACTGTACATTTCTTTTGATCCAGGCAAGAAAAGAATGCCGGGCTGCTCTTCTACCCGAAGTTGAGAGCGTTTCACATGGTTTGTTATCCTAACAGTGGCAAACTGGAAGCCAACAGGTAATTTAAGAAATGCTAATACTCAGTTTGTGTTCTGGGAAATCAACTTTCTCCCGTTCTCCTGAGAAGCTAGCTACCATTTTCCTCAAGATTCATCAAGCAACCATTTTCACTGGATTGAGTGAGAGGGAGAGACCAGCCCCCTTACCATCTCAGGATAGGTGGACAAACTTTTGGTGGCCAGAGGCTTAACAAAGGGTTGTGAGTACATGGAACCATATCATTCCTGTGGTAGGATTGAGGAGTTTGGGGAGTCTTTCTGTCTGTCTGTCTGTCTGTCTGTTTCAGAGCTTCTCAAGTGGTAAGAAACTTAAGCAAGAGGGGTGTCCTAGGCCAACAGAGAGAGGCCTCAATGACCATATGCGATCCTCAGGTTTCATACCTTTTAATTAAGACTTGATACCCAAGCATTTCCTTTTTCTTCCCTGCCTATTTTTTTTTTTCTTTTGGGCCTTCTGTTTTAATTGTCAGCCTGAAGAAAGGAACTCTTTTTCTTAAATTGCTATCTGAGATGCACTGGGACCCTTTTCTGAAAGAATTGCTGAGTTGGAATGATTTCAATAAAATTTCAGTAAAAATGAATCCACCATGAGGGTGTCCATAGAAACACATATTAATGGAAACGGTACATTGTGGTGACTCCGGACTGAAATAGGCTATCATTTTCCTATAACACTGCCTTAGGTGAATCCTGTAGTCACTGTGCTAACAGGTTTTTCTGTCTGTTTGTTGGGGGAGTTGTTTTTGTTTTGTTCTGCCTTTTAAATTCAGCACATTTATTTGAGTTTCTCAACTTGCATAATTTGTGCAGAAATTACAGAATGCTTCTTGTAACCGTAGACAGGTATTTCTGGGAATATATCAATGTTTTTAATAGATAGGGCAGCTGAGCATCAATGAGTATGGAGAGATGCAGAGAGGTCCGGGGGGGGGGCGGGGAGAAATGGCTAAAGCAACACAAGGTCTGCCCTTTTGTCTGCATGTCAAGGAGGAGAGCTTATGTCGTGATGGCACAATGCTGGTATACAATCTATACATTGATCAGTCTTGACAATGCAAAAACAAAACAAAACATAGCTATAAAAAAAAGCGCATGGGCATTTTATTTTATCTTTAAGTTACTTGGGAAAAATCTGTCAAATTTGGTGTATCACTTATATCAATATTTATTTATTTAAAAGATTTATATGGTAGCCCTTTTTATGTATCATAACCCTGGGTGGCTTACAGACAAAAATAAAACAATAAACAGCATAAATATAATGTTACGACTACTTGTTCTCATAAACTCCTTTTCAATTGATGGTTAAAATTAATTCATTTTTTTTTTTCCTAAAAGAGACGTTTAAAGTCTCATCTCAACCAATCAATCAGTCAGTCAATCCAGGCCCAGTTCAGCCAGAATAATTCCCTAAGACCAAGTATGAAATGTGCTTCGAATGGGAGCTTCCGGGTGAGTTGTGGCTGACTGAAGATGTCTCTGTGAACAGCAGAGACGGACAACCACAATGAAGAACAACAAAGGACCAGCAAGTAGACCAGTCCTTTTCTGGAAAAGAAGATGGGAGATTTCCCACAAGTGCTCCAAATGGCCACTCCTCATGAGGGGATTGTAAAACAGCAGTCTCCCACAGGATTGAGCCCCAGGAGACAAAGGGAGATGACATCTTGCTCTCGGCTATGGCAGACACTTCAAAAACACACTAAGCCAGCTGCTGTCATTTTCTAATCACTTTTGGAAATGATCTATTTATTTTATAGATATTAGAGATCTTCAAAATGCTGAGTTTAATTTGACACCTGGTGAGTTTTACCTTCTTTCTTTGATAAGGAATTTTAAATAGAGGCTTAAGAGTTTAAAAACAATATATAAATGGCAAAAAAAAATTGTTTTTGATTTAAGAAAGTTATAAATGGACTAGGAGAACAGAGGAATTTGGAACATTCGTACTTCTGGTGAAAGGAAGTATATAATTAAATAATATATCCATGGGAAACAACTGAGACGGAATTAAATCCACATTAGGAACTGAGATTCTTTGAATGTTGCAAATGGACACTACAGGGGACTAAAAGACCAGGCAGAAAGGAAAAAAAGAAGGGTGGGAATACACATCTACCAGCATTCAAACAAAGGTTTTAAAATGGCCAACTCTGGTATAACTTTTGAGTTACTTAAAGACACCTTTGAAAAATGGATTGACATATTAACTAGTACCTTAGAAATCATACAGGTCCCAATGGTTAAACCTTTAGAAGATGTTAAGGAACATTTTAAAAGCCAATTTTTACCTGACACAGATACAATAGAACTTGAAAATACAGCATATAATAAAACTGAAAAGATTACTAGGGAATACAAAAGAAAAATCAAGAAAAGGACTTGGACAAGGAGCAGTTGCAACAAGAAATCCTGGATGATATATTAACTAGTACCTTAGAAATCATACAGGTCCCAATGGTTAAACCTTTAGAAGATGTTAAGGAACATTTTAAAAGCCAATTTTTACCTGACACAGATACAATAGAACTTGAAAATACAGCATATAATAAAACTGAAAAGATTACTAGGGAATACAAAAGAAAAATCAAGAAAAGGACTTGGACAAGGAGCAGTTGCAACAAGAAATCCTGGATGATGCTTCTTTACTGGATTTACAAAGTAGCTTGGTAAAGGATCTGAAGAATTTTTTGAAGACTGATGAAGGACCAAATCCTGCAACAGTACTGGAACAAATCAAAGGCCAAGACTGAAGCACAAAATGAAGGAGTATAAAGTTGGACTATTTGATCGGGGATAAATTATTTGTTTCACATTTCTGGTAGCTTTGAATGGATTTTTTTCCTGAACCAGGACTCAAACGATGATAATCTCTGGAATTGCGTATAGATGTGAGTTAGGTTATAGGAAGAAGAGGTTTTGTTTGTAATTTTAAAAGAGGGTGAAGAGTTATTATGTTAGTTTATGCTTGGTGTGATGAAGGTTGGAAGCCACTTTACTATTGTCTTTGTTTCTTTCCCCTTTTCCTTTTCTCCTTTATTCTCTCTTTTCTTTTTTCTTTCTTTCTTTTGCATTTTATAAACTTTCTTTTATGTTTTAGTTTAGTTTGTACTTGTTTTTACTATATCTATTAAAAACTTCAATAAAAATTATTATAAAAAACGTGAATGGCATTTCCAAAACACAACTGTTTTACACTGAGAGAAGAAGGTTCCCATATAAAATATACATGGTAAAAATGCTTAGTTGAAATCCCCCAAGCTGATCAGTGCTATTGATATGAAACACGCAAGAATGAATTTGTGGCGTATTTAAATGTACATAAAATGTATTTATTTAAATTTGTATTTAAAAAGCAAAGACACTTTTGAGTTGGGTTGCATGAATCTATAGCCAAGGTTTCTTGGCTATGGAAGTGGTTTGTCATTGGCGTCTGTAAGGATGGTTTTTCAATGTCCCAGACTAGCCTATATAGCCCTGGTATTCCTTGAGTGGCTTCCCATCCAAATGCTAACCAGGCCCAACCCTTTTCAGCTTTCCAGCACACATAAATTAGCTTGGTGCATTTTCTAGAGTGTGGATTAAATCCTTGTTCATTCACTTTCCAAGACTAGTTCTGCAGTTCCAGCAGCAACAATGAAAGAGATTGTAAGATTGTGACTGGGGCTGGATAGGAGAAAAGGAGACTGTCCTGTCAACTACTTCCCTGTCAACTCAACAACTGAAAAAAACACAGTCCATCTTTTGATTTAGTATTGACTTATTCTTTTATTTTTAATTTGTGAAAGCATTTACAGCAAGAATGGGCAGATGTGAAATCAAAATTTGCTCAATAAAAGTAGCATAATTTTGCAGTAGATATGCAAACCTTTCCAATTTCTGATTATACATTAAAAATATGAGATAGCAAATGTTTTTTTTCCCCCCTTTTAAAATGAATCTGTGTCTATTTCTCAGTCTGGACTGAGCATATGGTCAGAACACTCTGTTCCTAGTATATGCCTCCTCACCAGAACCAGTGTTTTGAATTTGATTTTGACTGGTAATCTTAGGGGCAGTAATAGAAAACAAGTCAATCCCCCAGAAGCCAGAAGACTGCTCATCCATGGTTTGCAGCATCATTTTCCCATTTTCATTAAATGATGGTGCCAAATATCATTACACTCCTGAACATAACACCCCTTGGTGTATAAGCTATCATCCAAACTATGTATCATGTTTGTTCAACAGAGAGCAAATACAATGCAATTAAATATTCCAAATTAATCCAGTAAAGTAGAGGGGTGCCAAAGACACTCTTCATCTAGGCTGTCATTCCTCCTCAGACAACCTTTCGAAGCTGCACTTAGGCTCTCTCTACCCATTTCTACTTTTGGTAGAAGCATTTGATAATGTCTTCGAATTCTAATGCAGTTTCCACCCCCTTCACCATGCCTCCAGCAGACAACTTTGCTGTGAACCTGAATGTTCATGACAGCATCAAACACACTGAACCTCAGCTTTTTGGTCTTCTGTGGACAGAGATTTTGCAAACCTTATTCAGTGCCTTCTATCAATCCATACGCTGGACTCTTTAGAGACCAGACCATATTTTGGGAATATCCATGAACTGAATATGCTTTATGTTTGGGAAAGCTATTAGTTAACCATATCTAAATACTCTTAAATGCATTTAAAAACATGGTAACTTTATTAATTCAAATTAATAAGGTGTGAAAAAGGAAAAACAAATGCTTCCCATCCAGCTTTCCACTTCATTTTTAATAGTATCCAGCCATCTTTAATTTCATTTGTATAGTGCCCACTAGATGTCCTTAAAAGCTTATGCCATGGGAAAACCTGTCATATTCTTTAAGTCACTAAAGGAGCCATATATTTACTACAAAAGGCGGTGTAATAAGGAGAGTCTCCTGTGATTATCGTTCAAGGTTTCTTACATGCTGCCATATATTCTAACTAAGGCAGAAATCAATCAGATTAAGGGTAGAGATTTTGATTCTATTTTCTTACTGTAGTTGACAAATGCAGTTTTGTGTCTAATCAATATTAGTGATTTTCCATATAGACATATTGGAGAAACTGAAGATAAGTAAAGAAGTCACAACTTTTGTTAAAACTGTTATTGGGGAAAAAAGGTTAAAATTGCCATGCAAATATAACAAGCCAGTTGACAAGCCAACACTTTTCAATTTGTCATGCTAGTGGCATGGATACAAAACAAAAATGCATGAATGGAATTTACACACTGGGAAGTTTTGAGTGAGCCTCCTGTGAAATGAATGGGAGCTGTTTATGAGAAGCTGGGAGGAAGGAATTTCACAGGCAAATTGTCCAAGAGATGGTGCCCATAATTCCAGTTATCAGTCCTGAATTCTGTATTTACATTTACTTTTGATTTCCCCTTTGGAACTGTCATGCATCCATACATACTAAAACCAAGCAACAGCCTTGTCTCACACATTTATGATCGCATAAGCTTTTGTGGGTCATAGTACATTTCATCAAATAAAATAGTTGCCTTGTTCTGCCTTTTGAACATTTTTTTTCACAGGCCTGGCTCACTGCTCAAAAAATTTCATCCTCCATAAATCTTTGCAAAGTTAGTTTTTTCAGATTCTGAAGTCTCCCCTCAAAGTTACGCTTCTAACTGTGACTAATATATTACTGGTTGGTTATACATCTTGACTGACCTAACAACCACCTGTTGTGCCCTTTATCCAAGATATGTATTAAAAATAAACATGAAGTTTAAAATGCCCATCCCATCCCATATGTCCCAACACATTCACTTCTCCTTTTGCTTGCAGGAAAAAAAAAAATCTAGTATTAAAAGTTACCTGGAAAGCAAATTAATCCAGATGTCAAAGATCCAAATTCTAAACTGAGAGCTTTGAAGCAGCCCAGTGCCTTTTTATAGCAAAGGTGTGCTGCAGATCTTGACTGGGGGAAAGGGGGTGGGGCCATTCTCCAGTCCATTTAGGGATAAAAAAAAAAAAGAATAAGCAAAGACATACAGCATGTATCAACAAGAGAGAATAAACTTAACTATCTTAACACTGTAATCAGAAATTGATATAACAATAAGAACTGAAACATGCTGAACACATGATGAGTATAAAATGAAACCAACAGCATAAATGTTTTAGGAAAGAGCCTGAAACTGAGTCATAAAGTGAACTTCTCTAGCCCATAATTCTATCTTCCATCGAGAGACTCAAAATCATTAATCTGAACGCAGGTAAACAAAGTAGATGACATGTAGTAACACCTTTCCCATTATGAAGTCATCAGCTTGTGAGTATTCATTAATTCTTGTTTGTTTCAGTCTCAACCATCCTAAGGAAGCTTTGGGTACCTTCATTAACTCCCAAATACTATGAAGTCAAAAATAAAGCAGTAGTAGAATTTACATTGAAATCATTATAAAATCATTATAGGGTCGGAGAGTATCTCATCTACCCCACTCTTCTATTTGATGCAAGAATGTGGATGATCTGACACTGTTCTCCTGACATTGCTAATTACACTGTCTGCCAAAAGACCACTTTTATATTAAGGAAGTCCTCAGAGTTCCCAAGTGGGCAGGGCCAAAGTATTTGACCTATGGTAAAATATTTAGGAGCTAGGGGAGGGAGTTAAAGGATGAAAAGTATGTTTTCTATTTTACAGAGGTTTAAGGTACACAGTTTATTCTTAACCCCTCACCCCAAAATTGGGCTGATTTTTCTCTTTTCAGGAGTTTTACAACCATGAACACTACATGGTATCTTTTTATGAGAAACATCAATGGCTAATCAAAAGAAATGAAGAAAAAAGGAATACTGAAATAAAATAGACTTTAATTATTACATCTATCCTTCCCATCAGGTCTGCAGGAGGGGCATGTTGTGGGTCCCAACTGCTAAGGAGTTCCATCTGACAGGACCTAAGAGATGAGCCTTTTCTGCCATGGCACCCACCCTGGAACATCATCCCCGCAGAGGTGAGGTTAGCCCCAACTCTTATGGCCTTCTGGAAAGCCCCAAAATGTGTTTTTTTCATCAGGCCTGGGGATTCCCTGGCAGGAGGGAGCCTGTGCATTGGCTGCACCACATATAACATTCTGATTTTAACCCTGTAGTAATCTTCTTTTTATTTATGTTTAATTATTGTGTGAGATGGGCGGCCATATAAATTTGACAAATAAATAAATTCCATTTATTTTCCCTTATATGAGCTTATAGATGATGGTATCTTTCTGGAGTGAGATTTATTACCAAAAGTCTGAGAGCTGACATAACATTCAACCAGTATTGGATCTTGATTATGTGAGTTTTGAAAATCCATTTTCAGAAAGAAAAGTTGAAGGAGAACATAGTATGATTCCTTGTGGAATTACCTCCTCCCGGAAGTGAGGTTAGCTCCAATCTTCTCAACATTCCTCAAGTGCCTGGCTATGTGATCAGGCCTGGGGCTCCCAGGGGACTGGGGAGATTTTACGATGGCTCCCTTACAGTGGTTAACATGATCCTCTCTTGTTCCATATGCTTTTTAATAGTTTTAATAATGACTGTTTTATATACATTAATTGGTTTTCTTTTTAACTGAGTGTTGAACACTGCCCAGAATCATTTTTTTGTGAGATGGGTGGCTATACAAATATGATATAAATAAATGAAAGCAAGCAAGCTGGGCAAGTCCTTCAAAAGAGACACAGGAGAGTACATCTGAATTAATAAAGCAGCGGCATCTCTTTCCATTCTTGTGGGGCTTCTTGGTACATTGCACTTGGCTGTCTCCATGGAACTGTGCATGTACAGCTACCATCATTCACCGGGACATCTGCTTGTGCACAATACCCTGCTAAGCCACTTGCACAGTCTATTAGAAGCTTTAATGCCTTTTCACTTAAAAGCTCATACTCTCTTTAAAATTCCATCCAAAAGTCTTCTAGTGATTTTCCCCCCATGAATTTCAGTGTGGCATCTAAAGACACATCAGTTGACGTCTTTACTCATGTAGACAATGCTAGTTTGATGGCACTAAATTCCTTGACAGAACCCCTTCAGGTTCCACAAGCAGATCACAGAGGGCTCCTGCTACTTATGTCTAAACAACACACACAGCAATACATCATTGCACTGAAACTCTGCCCTTTTGGGGAATACATCTAACATCACAATGCACTTATAAAAGGGGCAGGAGTTGAATCATAATGAAGTAATGCTGCTTTTGTCAGGCTCATTTTTTTTGACACACACACACACAC